TTCTTGGTTCATTCATTGTGCAGATATAAACAAATTCTCAATAAAATTGTGCGAAGCTATATTAAAGCTGCTGCCATTCAGATTCAATATTATACAAATATTCAGGTTTAATATATTTTTCTTTTTATATTTTTTCTTCCTAAATCATACACATATATGTGTACGAATTGATCGCTACATATTGTGAAATGCATATAATAATTATATATATTCCAAACATTCTTACAGAACGATCAAGTTCGCTTCAATAAAATTTAACACAATAAATAACAGAAATTAAATACTGTCATAACAAAGAAATTGAAGGTACAGAATTTCAAATTTCAAATACTTTATAATAACGCGATAAAATGACTTTTTCCTTCACTCCTCTGAACATAAATATTCCGTAAAATAAACGCACGATTTACCAAAATCCTCGGGTTCCCGTGAAGTAATTGGTAATACTTTCAAGAAAAGTTCGTGTAAAAGACAAGGACCGAAGTCGTATAGCGACGTGTTGCAAGTTACAAAGTGCGTAGTAACATTATGTATTGCGATGTTTCCAATAGTTCAATTTATGTAAATTTGAATTCCATATATACTATCACCGTCTTTCAAAACTAGCGTTGTCACTGCTTAAACAGTACACGAACGGGATAAATAACAGCTGTGCTTGCATTACAAAAAGTGTGATGATATGCAACATTTGTTACAGTGCTAAGCAACAGTGTGGCAAAATTGATTTGACTTTTCAACAGATAATCGAGTCCCGTTGTATGTTACAGCATTAATAAGATCCAGTCTGAACATGCTGCAACACTGACTATCCACTCACCCATATGTACAAATCAAAAGCCCAGTCTCCAACATAAAACATTAATGAAGATACGACACGACTAAGTTCAAAAGACGGTCAACGTATATCATAATTCTTAGCGCGCGTATTGGCTGACGTAATATAGTTATCGCCAGACTACAGAAGTTCATTTGTTGCAAACATCAATCTAAACAGAACTTCTTCAAGAATGGAACATAAATTGTTTTAATCTCCGTTCTTCTAAACTGATTAAAAAAAAAACAAAAAGTAAACTCTCATGAACATCCGCAGTCTAGCTATTACTTACATATTACTTAAATAAAAAAATGTTAACAGTATGATGAAACNTTCTTGGTTCATTCATTGTGCAGATATAAACAAATTCTCAATAAAATTGTGCGAAGCTATATTAAAGCTGCTGCCATTCAGATTCAATATTATACAAATATTCAGGTTTAATATATTTTTCTTTTTATATTTTTTCTTCCTAAATCATACACATATATGTGTACGAATTGATCGCTACATATTGTGAAATGCATATAATAATTATATATATTCCAAACATTCTTACAGAACGATCAANTTCTTGGTTCATTCATTGTGCAGATATAAACAAATTCTCAATAAAATTGTGCGAAGCTATATTAAAGCTGCTGCCATTCAGATTCAATATTATACAAATATTCAGGTTTAATATATTTTTCTTTTTATATTTTTTCTTCCTAAATCATACACATATATGTGTACGAATTGATCGCTACATATTGTGAAATGCATATAATAATTATATATATTCCAAACATTCTTACAGAACGATCAAGTTCGCTTCAATAAAATTTAACACAATAAATAACAGAAATTAAATACTGTCATAACAAAGAAATTGAAGGTACAGAATTTCAAATTTCAAATACTTTATAATAACGCGATAAAATGACTTTTTCCTTCACTCCTCTGAACATAAATATTCCGTAAAATAAACGCACGATTTACCAAAATCCTCGGGTTCCCGTGAAGTAATTGGTAATACTTTCAAGAAAAGTTCGTGTAAAAGACAAGGACCGAAGTCGTATAGCGACGTGTTGCAAGTTACAAAGTGCGTAGTAACATTATGTATTGCGATGTTTCCAATAGTTCAATTTATGTAAATTTGAATTCCATATATACTATCACCGTCTTTCAAAACTAGCGTTGTCACTGCTTAAACAGTACACGAACGGGATAAATAACAGCTGTGCTTGCATTACAAAAAGTGTGATGATATGCAACATTTGTTACAGTGCTAAGCAACAGTGTGGCAAAATTGATTTGACTTTTCAACAGATAATCGAGTCCCGTTGTATGTTACAGCATTAATAAGATCCAGTCTGAACATGCTGCAACACTGACTATCCACTCACCCATATGTACAAATCAAAAGCCCAGTCTCCAACATAAAACATTAATGAAGATACGACACGACTAAGTTCAAAAGACGGTCAACGTATATCATAATTCTTAGCGCGCGTATTGGCTGACGTAATATAGTTATCGCCAGACTACAGAAGTTCATTTGTTGCAAACATCAATCTAAACAGAACTTCTTCAAGAATGGAACATAAATTGTTTTAATCTCCGTTCTTCTAAACTGATTAAAAAAAAAACAAAAAGTAAACTCTCATGAACATCCGCAGTCTAGCTATTACTTACATATTACTTAAATAAAAAAATGTTAACAGTATGATGAAACAGTAGTTCCACGAAGAAAATCAGGGCGACTGACACTTGGACAGCAATTTATACGGACAAAGACACGAAACTGTTATACTGCGTAATGTTGCGTTTCAGGATGTCTGCACAGGGGCCCAGAACTCTCTCGAACCTTGCCCTATCCAGTTTTACACATTTCAAAGGGCCACGTGCCACAACTGTCGCAGCTCTTGGCCTGTCTAACAACAACGCAATCTCACCTGCAATTAATAGCTTATGTGAGACACCTTCTTTTGCTACAGTTCATAAAGTAAATTTCATCCGCAAAATCATCTTCAAGCATACCGAAATAATCAGATGGTCCTAAGCGACCCACTTCTGACGGTTCTTCGTTCTCCGAACGCTGTTGGAGGACCACAGCAGTGCCCTCTACAATTATATAAAAGTCTTCACCAGGTTCACCCTGTCGAACTATCGTCTCGCCGTCATCAAATGCTACGGGTTCCAAAGCATCGGCTACCGTCAGCCGTTCCCACTTATCCAGAGACTCTAAACATAGATCAGTCATTATGTAATCTATTTATAAACGATATCGTCCACAATATGTACTTGGTAGTAACGGCATCGTATAAGAGAAAATTGGAATCAACTATATAAAAGTAGGGGTAAATGTTCACAAAAAGGAAGGTACTTCTGATTTTTATGACCTTAACAATATATTTGAAGGTAATCAAAAGTCAGAGCTGGTCCCCATTTTGTGCATCCCTTTTCTTGTATAGATTCATAAGAGAAACTCTCACTTATTACATATTCTGCCGTGTTCATTTCCTCGCTACAACGTTTGTACAACATGTTCGCACTCACCTAAAATAGATACTCTAGAAAGGAATTCTTCATACATCTTCCGCTTTCTTATGGTGGAGCCCATTAGGATTCTGCGATAAGAATCTCTATCAATTCCCCATAACTTGACGTCCGTTTTCGCTCGTACGGTCGCAGCGCGAGGTGTGCCATAGATCAGAGCCAATTCACCAAAACTTCCGCCTTCTCTGATCGTGGTGGCAAGCTCGCCGTTAACAAATATTTCAACTTCTCCTTGATCGATCACGTAGAAATTGTCTCCCTCGTCCCCTAATCAAGTGTAACACAATTTTCAGATCAATTACCGTACTTAATCGTTTTAACAAAAGTCTATTGTATATTAAGCGATGCGTCATAAATAGGAGACACTTAAGTGGATCCTTTGATGAAACCACAACCTTCATGCTACCCAACAAGTAATTAACCCTCGAACGTTCGACCGTTCAACATTGATACGAAGACTGAAGGTTTTATGACCCCTACAATTTTAGAACTGAAAAGTTTAATGCTAGAACTAGGAGAGGGAAAAAAATAAATCAAAAGATGTAGTTGTGCTTGAATGCGAGAAAAGTAAATCATTCACTGAGTTTAGTAGAAAACAATACTGTGCAAAAGCAATTGTTGTATAAGAGACAGAACTTTGTAGGTTTATGGAAGAGTTTGGTGTAACGAGTTAAAGAACATCGTTTTTGTTCAAAGTCGATGATAAAATCTTACAAAAATATTTCTCAAAAGATATGTAGCAAAACTCGATAAAATAAGGCAGTTTTAGCTGATTTTACGACAGACCGGCTGATACAGTCAGATACGTGTATACAACTAATATTCAACAGAATTTTAAAATTGTGTAGCAATAATCATATAAAAGAAAGAATGGAAAGTTTATCGCGAAATATTTAAAAAAATCTGGCAAACTCAAAGACTTAAGATTATAATTAAACTAGAATGTAAAAAGTAACGAAGGCACAAGTTTTATACTACACGTAATGCTGAAACGAGATCTTTTCATCTGCCAATAATGCAAAATGTTCGTGGAGGTAACATATGTAGGACGCGCAACGGGTAAATAGATCCGCAGTAATAGAGTGCCGGAATCTCAAGACTATGAAACCGGCGGGAATTACACTTGGAAAAAAACGAGTTCCTCTAATGAGGCAAAACACGCGGCTATGAAATTTTCATGAATACACTTTTACAATCAATACACGTTTAAATATTTTACTCTTTCCCCTGCAAAATTGTTCAGATAAATATAAACTTATTCTTCAAAATTCTAGCACTTTTCAATTCTTTATTTTCTAACTTAAAAATATGGTCATGCTGCCAGAACGCTTATGACACATTTCTAGATTATGAGTTTTCGATAAATATAGCAGAGATGTTACATTTTACGGCACAGGGGCCAACTTTCTTGACGATGGGCTGGATTGCAACATTATTTATAGCTTTCCGTATAATTTTGAAAAGATTGGTCCAATATATTATTTAAAATGAATTTAAATAATTCGTCAATTTTCAGGAAGTTATACCAGACTGCCCCCATTAAACTTTAAAATTATTACCTTGTCGAATGATTGCCTCGCCAGGTAAGAACGTGACTGGAAACATAGCGTCGAATATGTCAGAACGTTCGTTCTCATCTAAGTGAGCGAAAAGGACGTTCTTAGCGATGGCCTTGCTCAAAGCAGCCATCGTCTTGTAATCCTTAGGCACGACCTTCTTGACATAACTGGTCGCATCCTCCTCGGAGACCGGCTCCGCGGAGATACCACCCCTGCGTCTTGGTACTTGAGGACCTTGCTGACCCGCGGGTATGTCTTCCGTGTCTTCTGGACTGGTTGCGATCTGTTGCTTAGCATCGTGAGCCTGTTCCTAAAAACGTAGAAAAATCAACTAATTTCAGAAAAATACATTATCGGCTCACAAATCCTTTTACTTTAATTATATAAAACTGTGTGTGTTAGCCCCATTCATAAATATGCTATACATATATTTAAATGTTTATTTTAAATTGTTAACATTATAGTGTTTATATGGTTCTACTTGTACGGTACATCATAACGATAGGGTCATCCTAGTTGTTTGTAGAACACTAACCGTGGTACTATACACAAGATCAATATCGCCTCTTTTTATTTGATTTTTCTAAACAAAAGCGATCACGACAACGTCAAGACCTCCGATAGGAAAAGAAGGAGGGACAAGGAGAGAGAATGGTAACACGCTTTTATAAGTCAATTTTGTTTACACATGCGCGGAATAATTACGTGCCCTTCCCCTAATGAAATCACATGCTTCTTGAAATTTCCTGAGCGTGCAGGATACCCACAAGTGTCAGACGAAATTCCTCTTTCTTGAAGGAGAATGACTTCAAAACAATCTTGAAATTAAATTATAACGATTTAAATAATTTATTCCTAAATTATGGATCTAAAAAATGATTGAAGAGAATAGAGGCCAATATGAACGGCAAATCAATTAGTTTCTTTTCTAATGTGCCAGGTCATTTTGGTTCCTTCATGGTGGAAATGGGAGGAAATAAAAATTTCTATTCGATCATCATTTCCTCTGTCCTTCGGAAGTTCGTCAACGCTCGTTGTAAAATTATACAAGCTCGCGGAGAAAATGTTACACGGTGTACAAACGGCGAGTATGGCTGAAGAAGGTTGGCAAATAATGCCATAGGTCACTTGGCGTTTTCACGGATGAATGGTGTCTCGTACAGCAAACGCCTTCGTAAAAAAACATCCACTTCGTGCGATTCGAGAGATCTTTCATTTCTCTTCGACTGTTTGAATCGGTTTCATTCTAATCATTGCAAACGTCTGGCCACATCGAATAGCAAACAATAAACGTGATACATGTACGTAAGTCGTCCACAATTCTACCACCCACTCCCCTTCCTTCCTGCATCGATCACTAATTTCTTTACAGGACACGATAACCAAGGGCTAATAGTCCATGGAGCTAAGTATTCATTTATAAATTAACAATATTAATAACGCTTTCACGTTCAGTAATACACGACAGAAGTTCCCCTAATTACATTATCATCAACAATATTTCCATGCAACATCCTCATACAGAGCTTCAACATGTTCGCTATTTGAACCCCCATGCTTCCTCAAAAATACTTATCCAAAAAACCTTATAACTTCCATTCGTTTTCGCTTTACACTTTAATTCGATCATTTGTATTTTATTCATAATCTCACATTTTATATAAACAAATACACCAGATTGCAACACAATGATGAGAGAAATAGAGAATTTCACAGTATCTAAAATAGAAAGAGAGCGAATTGTCATCGAAAGATCGTATGAGTGTTAAGCATATACAGTGAGCGAAAAAACTGCTCGAGCTATAACTTTTAATTGGTCAGAAGATGGAAGATACTGCAAAAATAGTTCTTATTTAATCGTTTAATTTAACCAATTTCTGAGAACATCAAAATTAAGATCCAGACTATCCACATGGAGTATTATATGTACTTTGTATAGTATAGGCATATATGAAAACGTTAAAATAACACTATCTCGTGACGAACAGTCGAACTACACTCTAACAATAGCATCGAATTAAAAGGACAATGTCAAGACTAGTCGGTCAATGGTCTTAGCACGTGGTGAAACAGTAGTGTACCTTTAGCTTATTGGGTTAAAAAAAAAAACAATGACAAGACCTATATCGTATAGTTGCACTGTCTATTATTAAAATATTTGCAAATTTCTACTGATTTGCACTGTCTTCTGAAGTTCTTAAAACGGTATGAAACATTTTCTGCACTGAAATAAGTACGAAAACCCAACAAATTACGTAGATATACAAAGCATCTCAAACACAGGCAGTGAAATCTCAAATATTTCTATTCTTTCTAACAGTAAAACGAAAATGTCTGAATCAAAATCTAAATGTTCGAAACCCACGTAATAAAACGAAACTGCAATTCCACTTATCTCAGTAGTATGATCTATTTAAAGAATTCACCGAGAAAGAAATTCTGAAAACATTACAACTGAATTTTTTCATGTAAATAATTCGAAGAAATCACACACGATCGCAGACTTTCTTTAACAATAATAAGATTCACACGTGCGGTCATACCTCATCCATTATTTATCCAAATACAAGCCGATAGTGCGGTATGATTTTACGTTAAATATATCCTTCACTGGCAACACGTCACACACATGCACGCACACACTCCAGTTTCGGAAGCGGAAGTTACGGAGAGCAAACTTTTTTACAGTCAAAAGTTACGAACGGAACTAACCGACTGTACGAGGCGCGCGAGAGGACGATCGTGTCTGATGATCGCGACGTCCCGCGTCGCGGCGCTTCGGAATTTTCTAAGGCCTCGCCAAATTCGATTAATACGACAACGATCTTTCGCGGCACGGCGCTCTGCGTGATGTTAGAGGGTAGGGAGGGTCGCTTGTATCGTACTTCGTACTGCTCAAGGAAAAGTAGTACAATACTGCTGGAAATTATCAAAAAATCTAAAGCACCTTTTTTATTTCATGTTAGGTTGATCACACCTGATTTCGCTCAATTCGTTTACATAGCAGATCATGTGATATAAAAATTGGTTTCCCAATTATTCGCTTAAATGGTTCATTCAGTATCGAACAGCTAATTTATAATTTTGCATAAATTTTATTATTACAATTTCATATGGTGTGTTTGGCCTGAGAATGCCCGAATTTGATCTCGTATGTGAAACCACTCTTATTTCTTTTATTGATGTCATTATATAAGATAAAAAAATAAAAATGGGAACAATGGATAATATATATATAATATATTAGGTATGTGTACTTCATGTATGTATGGTATGTTTTTGTTATATTTATAATGTGCTATTCGTCCGCGAGAATGCAACGTAACATATTTCTATGATGTTCTCGATTAAATCGATCGAAAATCAGCAAACGAATCGTGGAGCCGAGCCGTGGGATGCAACGTACTTCCGACGTTGTCAAAAATTTCCGTCGCAACACGTCCCATTTGCACATGTTCGAGGACGTCGCGACGGAACGCGTTACACACAGACTTTCGTGGCTGTTGGCTAAGGTTGCGCGCCTCGTTATATTTCGAGCGTACTTCTATATTTAGAGCGTGCCCTATACAGAGTGTTCGTCGTGGCGGTCTCCGTGGTTTTCTTAAGTTTTCGCGATCATTAGATAAAAGATACCATGGCAACAATTATAGTTCTACTGTTATCTGTTTGTCAGATGATTGTCAGAATCAAAAATGAACAAAACAGGATAAAAACTATCATAGAATTGGGCCAGAATTTTTAACAAATGAATAAGAAAATGAGAAATAGTGAAATGATGTGTGGATAAACTCAAATAACGAGTTAACATGTATTTACTACTTAACAGGTTAATAATTATAATGATCATTCATCGTATACTGTGCGTACCGATCGATCCCTTGACCGTATGTTATAGGGTGCCTCTGATTTCGTAAGATTTAAATCCTCCCGCGCGTTACCGTGCGCGTGGTTCACGGAAAAATGGTAAATAGTATCGATCATTCCTGCCTGATGTAGTCCTGTACCATATAGACTGTAAGAAAGGGGCCACCTAAATCTCTCTGTTGTTTTCGAACATACGAAAATCCTGTCAAGGTCGGTGCTGTACAGTTCGAGTGAAAAATAAGATCGCACTTGTCGTAAATAGCCCGTTGGTTACAGTTACGCTTGAATTTATTATGAGGATACAATGTATCGTGTAATAAATAAAAATAACCTTAGAATAACAATACAACGCAGCGGCTTATTCTAAACTACTGATCGTTTATCCCTCCAAAAAAATTGATGGATGTATCAAACAGTAATCTAAATTAGAATATTTTGAATAGTAAACACTGAGCGCTACAGTAAATTCTACCCAATTGTCCTTTAGCTTGTAAACAAAAATGGACAATTTGGAAATAGGAGATACAAATGTGTTTGCAGAAACACACTTCGCGCCAAATTTTCAACTTGTTAAAAGAACGATTTCATGGTGCACGATTAAAACACTGGCCGAGTTTTAATGCAGATTCGCGATAATTTAAGCAGGCATAGATATTACAAAATGAAAACAAAGATGCAATTA